TGATTTTCTACAGCAAGAGGCGTGATGGGCATGACAAGTAACACAACAGCGTCGGCCTCTTGTGTGACATACAACAATGCATCGGCAGCACTTTCTAATCAATAGCAATGGCATAACATGGCAATAACAATCATTCACTGTCCCTGTGTTATGGCAGTTGATCTCATCCTTTGCTCGGAGGGAAGGAGCTCCCTGACCTCATTGTCTCCCCAATTTGCTGACATTTTTGGTTGCTGTTCTTCATCTTCGAGTTAGCTGCTAACTGCTGCCAGCTGCTATTTAAATCTCTTGGCCGTGGGTTACACACATAACACCATGTCAAAGTGTGGTACCAGTCCTGTCCTGCTGGCTGTCCCTTTTACACAGATATCGATTCAGTGCCATTACTACCTCTGCTGCCTGCTTAAAGGCGAGACGACTCTGTCTCCCCTATTCCATGATTGTACTTTTTATACAGAGCTGTGAGGCAGAATAACGGCACAGCATTCCCGCCTTGACCAGGCAGTTAAAAGGGGCTATCAGATCTCACAATCCAATCATAATGCCACACCCCCCTTGTATAGCATCCAACAACTAATTGAAACCAAACTTATCAGAAAAAAACCCACTTCAGCATATATCAGCGAGATAAGAACTACCTAAAATGACAGAAACCATCAATGGGAAAAAATTATTTGACGTGTTCTTTGAGTTTTGTAGTTGGGCCCATGTCCCATCCGCTAACATAAATCGAAATGTTCTGGCTTTACTTTTGAGGATCTGTCGCTTTCTTGCCATCCATCTTTATATACAGTCTATGGGCCTTATCTTTTGCAGGGTTTGTGTTTTACAGCATTGTGCAAAATATGTTTTCCAGAATCCCAACGTCCACCTCTCCAGTGGGCAGATCATGGCATACGCTCACAGCAGTATCAGACAACACCTTGTTCCTGTTTGGAGGCCTCAGTGTAGACTGCAAACCAATGAGTAAGAAAATGTACCCAAAATGTACTTCTTTTCTTTGTTCCTGTGGTCATTTTATGTTCTTTTACTGTTTTCTCATCAATAACATTTTTCTCTCAATCAGGTGATGGGTGGTTGCTGGATGTGGAGTCAAAGAATTGGCGAGAAGTTGAACATCCTTATAAGGATAAGCCAAGGTAGTGATTTATGAATATTTGAAAAATGTAGGTTAGGGGTTACAAGTTACAGAGTCTACATTTATTACTCTGTTCAAGCATTAGAGAGTGTTACTGTGAATTGTAAGCAGATTTTAAATAGCATCCTTTCTCCCACCTAAGGTTGTGGCACACAGCAAGTCTAAGCAAAGACTGTGATGTGATTGTGTTTGGTGGAAGTTGTGACTACATCCTCCTTGTCGACACTGTAAGTATCGCAGAGACACTTCAGAACAGGTCTGCCCAAAGTGGAGCTAGTGGGCCAGAGTTGGCTCGTCATAAGTTTCGATTTGCCACATGTTTCTAGCAAAAGCATTCAATTTAATTTAAAAATCATATTACTGTTTTTGCGTAGTAATAGTAGTAATCGTTTTCACAGTCTGAGCATGGTGGGCAGAGTGACACTTTGCACAGGACGTCAGTTTGACATGAGTTAGGCAAGAAATAAATGAAGAGGCAGAGAGTCGGCTTGGTGTGTCAGAGCCGTAACAATACAATAGGTGTTTGCTTTAGGCCTGTTGCCCACCATTAAGTTTTAGTTTTGGCCCTCCAAGGGAAAAACTTGGGCACCCCTGCTTTAAAAGCCAAAAGAGATATGTGATATTATTTTGATTTGACAGATCTAAAATCAACACAATCCATCCAAGCCTCCTGAATTCACATGAACACAGACACAACTCTGAAACTATATGGAAAGACCTGAAAAAACATTCAGATGAACAGTTGTATCAGATGTATCCAGGTGCTGTTCAGTGTCTCTTTACTGAATAACACATCGGAGAAAACCTGCATGATAGTCAACAGCATTTTACTTTCCCCACAAATGTTTTATATAGACAGTGAGATTTGGGAGGAGAGTCTTAAAAGAAATGTTCAATTAACTGTAGCCACAATCTGATCCAATTCACAACAGTGCATTGGCTATATTACTCCAAAGACAGACTGCGTAAGATTTTCCCTGATGTGTCCTCCCTCTGTAGAAGGTGGGAAGAGGCAGTCTGGACTTAAAAACATTCTGATTGGACATGTCGGAAATTGTTTTCTTATTGGAAGAGTGTAATTGAATGTTTCCCCAAAGCAGTGGATCCCAACTCATTGGTCGCGGGTCCATTCTGAATGGACCACAAGTGACTTGCAAACATGTCAAGTATGTAAAAAACACACTTTATTTTTAAGTACAGTGAATTTCTGGCACAGAGTTTTTATTTTGAAGTGCTGTTTCCTACTTGACAGAGACCGCAAACTATCTCAATGACATGTCCAAACACGAGTATGACGCTGAATATTTTAAACTGTATGGACCTTGAACTAATGACTAAGGACAAATCTGGATCCCATGGCTGGACCAGTTGGGAACCACTGCTCCACAGTCTCTGAGAAGAACTGGGAACAAAACCCACTAGTCGCTGTCCTAGATGCCATGAGTGTGTTACCTTTGTCAGACAAGTATAAAACTGATTTTGGCAAGGAAACTTATTCTGTTTATATGGACGTCAGACTGTGCACCAACATATGATATGTGGATAAGAGAGCTGATTAATGTATTGTTTTTTGAAAGGTTATGGTTCTCTAATAAGACTCAAATAAAAATAATAGTCAGAATTCAGAGTCCTGTCCCAGAGAACCTCAAGGGTAGTGGATTTTAATGGACTGACAGTGAAACGGTAAACCCTCCAACAGTATGTATTTTATTTTACTAGTAATGTTAAAGTCCTAGGACTTGTTCTTTGTTTTCTATATCCTCCTGAGACCTGAACCTTTGTTTGGTATGCATTTTTAATTTTTCCTAGCTATTTGGGATCAGTAGGACCTATAAAGTCTAACAATAATCAACTAGGGCTGCCACTAACGATTATTTTCATCGACTAATCTGTCGATTATTTCTTCGATTAGTCGACTAATCATTTCATCGAAAAATGTGTTAAAATGTTGAAAAATGTCGGTCTGTCTCGCCCAAACCCCAAAATTACGTCATCTAATGTCTTGTTTTGTACTCACACCAAAGGGTTTTAGTTCACTGTCACGGGAGAGTGTGTAAAGCTGCCAGTATCTGAACGTAAGAAGCTGCAGTAAGAGTATTTTGGGGTACTTTTATAGTACTTTTCTATGAAAAATGACTCACACCGATTAGTCTACTACTAAAATAGTCACCGATTATTTTAATAGTCGATTAGTCATCGATTAGTCGACTAATCGTGGCAGCCCTATAATCAACACTGTCAACTATAAGTCCCAATGTCTTCAAATGAGCACTTCCTAATTAACAGTCTTAGCTTGTTACTGTTGCTAAAATTGGTCAAAGTTGTTGCCATATCAAACTACAAACACTATTAATCATAAATAAAAAAGTTTCAACCATAAAACGTGATCAGTTTTTGGACCTTGTCACTTTTGACTTGGCAGAGATGGCTGCTATCTTGTTTTTACATGGATTAGTGTATCATGCTCTCACTACCACTAGATGGCACAAAAAGTGTCCAGGGATGAGGACAACAGGTCTGAATTAAGTAGAATGAAGTGTAAGGTCAAGTAAACCCAAAATGTGATGTCCACATATGGGGACACAGGGTCTCAAGTGGATATGGCAAAATACTGTATTTGAGGCTGAGTTGTTCAAGTGACTTACTGAGTGTTTGTTTTTATATTGAAAATCCTAAAACAAAGGTTTAAAAAAAAAGTAACTTTTTATACAGTGAAAAGTAGACTGCACGTAAAAATCTACCTTGGAGTATGTCCATGTATTTCATAGTTTATACCATAGTCATACATAAGATGCACATCTGAATGTGAGAGAAAATACTTTGTGCTGAATATTTAAATCAAAATGGAACTTAACAGAACTTGTATATTTATTTTCAGGGTCACTGCAACGATGCACTTGTTTTCCAGACACAGCCATATCCTCTGTTCAGGTAAAAACAGTCTATATTTTATAAATCTGTAAATCTCAGAGAGATAATTTTATAAAAACAAGCACAGAAATAAAATTAGAATAATTTTGGAGCAGAAATAGACTCGCACACAACAGATATACTGATTTTTTGAACGATGGCTGTGTTGCATTTTAATTTTAGAGCCCTGATAATGTGCATGCTAGCAAACTGGTTTTAGCAATCATTAATGACGGTAGCTTTGCTTGCGCTTCTCCTGTTATGGGAAGTAAAAATAACTGCTGTTAAAAACCTCTATTTCTTTGTAAGTCATATTATAAATCAATCTTATTGTCATGAGATGAACCCCTTCAGACGTATCATCTCACTTCCAATTGTTATTTTTACTTTGATTATGCAATCTCTGTCCCAAAATAGAGATGAGAAATAACAGACTGTTTTTCCCTCTGACAGGATTTGTGAGGATTACATTGCGAAGAATGTGAGGAACTCAGAGATGCTCAGAAATCAGCTTCCTCTGCTGCCTCCCAAACTGCTGACAGCCGTACAGAGGAGGATGTCTTACTACAGGCCTTCAAAGAAGCAAAAATACTAGTTCAAAGAATGTGGAAGCTGCCAAAAACAGTGCATTATTGTACAATTTCATTTAAGTACTGTACTCCCCTTGGTGTGAACATACCTATCACACTGTGGGGTAGCATTTTTATTTATAAAAATATATTTTATGGTGTTATATTTTATTGTTTTAGAGATGCAGTTTTTATTTTGTACAGTCTGCCTGCTGAAATACTCTGAAACTGTTCATGTGATGACTGTGATCATTAAATGGCACGTTGAACTGTTTTTGCCTGATGTTGATTATTAGACTATAAATTATTAGTCAGCCAAGTCAACACACACACACACACACACACACACACACACACACTGATTCTCCCAGACTTCACACATATTCACAAATGCAATAACCAATTTTTATTTGCAGTATAAAACCAAATAAAAAACTTTCCCTCTACATTCCTGGCTGAAATCCACCTTTCGTTAAACACTGACAAATGCAGTGTTGACACAAACAAATGTCCATTTATGTGTCCGTGCACTCAACTACTCCGTTCCACCACTATGTGGCAGCAGGCTTTTACGTTTGAGTGTGTCTGAAATGCAGCTGTGCCTGACTGAAAGCCTCTGTTGCCTCACATTCCTTCTTCATAAGGCTGGAAAAGTGCAGGAACTGTGGTCAGGAAGGAAACCTTAAATAAACAATCCAAGCTCATACCTTTGCTGCCACTTAGAAGAACTTTACACGGGGCTGCGTGCGCAAAAATGCTGGTGGAAAGTTATTTTTGCATATAGCATAGGCTACAAGAATGTGCCAGAGAAGAATATGTGTTCCCTCCTTTACCTATTAACAGACAAGTTAAAGTAGAATAAGTAATAGGTAACACATAAGTAGGTGTGTGCTCTGTGGGAGGTCGGCAGCGTTGAGGGGGTGACAGTGACACCACTGCACACAACAAACTGAGGAGGCTTCCTGGCATCTGTTCAAGTTGGTGTTATAACTCTGCGATTACACTGCTTCATGTTAAATAAGACTTGGTGAATGCAAAGGCCTGGAGTGCAAACGTAAGTGTTAAATTCATGCTGGAAACCCTGCTCAAACACAGTGACTGTAGCCTTCCGTAGTAGCAGGAATTTGTCAAAAGAAACCCTGGTTCCCTTTCTCTTCTTAAAATATCTTCTGCACACTGCTGTAGGACAGAAGCTTTGCTGCAGCATTCCCAGCTGGGGGTCAACTAAACTCCCTCTCAATAGTGTCCATCAGCTCTTCTTCTGATCCATCGTACAGGATGACTGGCATGGTGAGAGAGGAGCTATGGCAGCTGCCAAAAGTCCTGGGGAGAGTGGATGGAGAGACATATCAGCACCATGGTGATAAAAACAGGAAAAATAAATCATACAAATCAACCCACAACAATCAGCTGATTAATTTCCAATATATGAGATGCACTAAGAGGCCATCAAGGGCCAGTGGTAGGAAATACATTATGCCTACTTGTGCTTAAGGCAAGTTATGGAAATGTTTTCTCAGTTGTGCTTCCGGTTTTCACACACACATACACACACTCAACACAGCAGCAACAACAGACACTTGTTTGTTTCTGTCCTGCTTGCAGACATCTGACTAATCCCATCCACCCTGAGAATAATGGGCTGGTACTTCGATCCTTTTAAGGTGAATTTGATCTGGCCCTGCTCGGCTTTTACTACTCCACTGAGCACGGAAATGCATTATTTATCAGAGCTGTCTACTCACGATTGTTTCTCTGTTGTGGGAACAGCTTCCAACAAAGCCCCTCTTGTCAAAAAGCCCTGAGAGGAGGACTGACAGAAACCAGAGAGGGAAAGAGGAACACTTTAAGAAGTCTCCAGGATCATCATAGAATATTAATTAAAATCAATCACCATGTGCTATGAAATAAATATCACAAATAAAAGTCCTTACACTGTGCTGACTGGGGCATGCAGGTGTGTGTTTTTTAGAGTGTGTGAAAGCATTATTGCTCCTCTTGTTTACATCTTTTGATCCACCGTGTGAGCCACGTGGCTCCTCGGCTCGGGACCGACGAGCTGAGCTCAAGTCCTCCTCATCCTCTTGGCTAAAATGGCACAGTCCGTATGTTTTGGATCTGATGACCGTCTTCTTGGGAGGACTCTTCTTCACTGAAACACTCCCTCGCTCCTCGTAATCTGCCAGAACCGTGTCCAGCTCTGCATCAATGTCATCGTCCTCCCTGGAGAAGTCAGAGTCGTGCCCCTCGCTGTGGCAGTCCGGGTGCGCACGGTTGCGCGCGTTGCGCAAAATCGCATGGATTTTGAGAGGCTTGAATGGACGGTTGTCCTGTTTGGGTGAAGTGACACCACCGGTTGCTGTTTTGGTTACATTCACCTCGCTGACACATGCAGGTGCAACTTTCTTCCCTCGGCTTGTCCCGCTGCCCATGTCTGCTGCTGCTTTGGAAATCTACACGCAAAGTCCCATTTCCAAATTCCTTTTCAGGCACACTAAGAGCTCCAAGAGTTGAACATTAACCAACTCAGATCCTTGGCAGCGTTTAAGGTCAGTTTTCAATCAGGGTTTACGGCTGCAAGACACGTCTCTGGCTGAAAATGAATTCTAAAGGCCAAATTTCTTAAAAAGTATTCCACTACAGATCTGAAATGATCTCCATGTTCACAGACCCGCTGCCTGTAAACTTTCGGGTAACTCCACATCAGGATGAGAGGCAGTGTATCAGTTACATAACACCAGTTTGGCTCAGGACCCCAGAGAGAAAACTCCGCCTTCTTATAGAGGGACACACACTATGTTTTCCTAAATAACTCCCACTTTTACTTGAGAGCCTCTGCTTGTATTTTCTTATTTAAAACCATATCATTTAAATAATTTCTCATTAAAAAAACTTTAAAAAGAAATGTATTTAAATATGCAGCCATTCCCAGGATTGAGAAAGATGACGTAAGGACAGTATGGCCATGAAAAGGCTAACTTAGGCCAATTAGTTTGATTTATCTGTATCACATCAGCAACAATGACCAGCCTTTTGCCCGTCTGTGTTCAGCTAATAGATTTTATTGAGGCAAGTGAGGTCAGGAGTGAGTGAGTTGCTGTCCGCCCGCCGGGTCCAGGAGGCCCCCAGCTCACCAGCCCCTCTGGTGACTTATTAAGACCCAAGCACTGAGCCACAACAGAAAGATGGGGCATTCCTTTCCAACAGCTTGGGCTTCCCAGAGATTCCTCAATAAGCTTTTGTTTGATCCAGTTGCACACACAAAAGACACAGCAGGAGCATCTCCCCGCCAGAGCTGTCCAACCAGAACCCGGAGTTCACCCGAGTAAAGGAGTTGTTTGCTATCTTTCATTAAGTGCCTCTTTCTCTTTCTCTCTGGGTCTGTCCTTGCTTGTGTGTGCACATATGTGTGTGAGTGCCAGACAGCTGTGCAACCTGTTCTCTCTGGAGGATGACCAAGTCAAAGACACCTGCCGTGAAAGCAACTGGCATTTTCCAAACTGTGAATGTGAGAGGGGGGGAAAATCAGCCTGCAAGTCCCAGATGTCTCATCGAGGAAATTCCTGCTTTACTTTTTGATTTTTTTTAGAGAACACATGTTAGATGTTGTTGGGGAAATATGTACACTGTTGTTCCTTTACTTAAAGGTCCAGTGTGTCGGAGTTAGGGGGATAATGGCTGAAATGGAATATGTTTTCTTCAGTGTATAATCACCTGAAAATAAAAATTGTGTTTTCGTTACCTTAGAATGAGTCGTGTATATCTACAGGGGAGCGGGTCGGTGTCCACAGAGTTTGCCATGTCTCTACAGTAGCCTAGAATGGACAAACCAAACACTGGCTCTACGCAGGGCCATTTGCATTGCACCAGCCACAGTAGTTAGCAGCCCCTCCACAATGAGAGCATTGGAAAAACACTGATTTGTTTAACATGAATCTGTTTTATTCAGTGTTTTTACCGGTTTAAATCACCGGTTCCGATTGTTTTTGCTCCCAGTAGGAACCTCCTGAATGTCTGGATCTTAAGTTATTACAGAGAAAAGGTGAGCACACATTAGCAGGTGCTGGGCTGGCCAACCCGGTCTCACTCCGAAGAGTGAGAGATGGTCGATGGGTTCAGCAACCACTGACTTTTCCTGGGGAGACCAGTGTTTGCTTCCCCCAAGAGTGTAAAGCTAAAACCTGTTCTTTTTTCCTAAACCCAACCACGTGTGTGTTGGCAAAACTTAACCACTAGAGTTTGTTGTTGATGGAAAAAACCTCAATTCTGGGTGTTGTACCGATGTAGTGCAGTTATTTTGAAAGAAACTGTATGCAAACGGTAAATTTCCTGTAAAAACTGAAATGTGTTTTGAAAACAGACAATGCATGTAACTGGCATAACTTGACACGGTGTCCCAGAACATGCACTCAGCATACCTTGCACCAGTAGTTCCCAACTAGTCCAGTCATGGGGTCCAGATTTCTCCTTAATCATTAGTTCGAGGTCCCACATTTTAATCCATTCAGCTGGCCATGCTGTCAAGCTAGTTTGTTGTCTTTGTCGGTTTGTCACCCTCTCTAGTAGAAAACAGCACTTTAAAATAAAAGCTCTCTGCTGGAAATTTACTGTATTTAAAATTAAATTGTACTTGACACAATTCCAGGTCACTTACAATCCATTCAGGATGGGCCTGCAACCCACTTTTTAACCCAGTCCCACCATTTGGGAACCACTGCTTTACGCATCATATCTCAACATGGAAAGTCCATGACCAAATGTGGATATGTTGCCGGCAGTTTGTCAGGGACAAGCTGAACAGCATTGGAAAAACACTGATTTGCAAAGAAAATCTGTTTAATTCAGTGTTTTTACTGGTTGAAATCAACGGGTCCATTTGTTTTGGAGAAGGAGAGACCTCTGCGGATAATTTGGCTCCCTTTAACCCCCTAAAAAATGAACACAGAAGGAATTTTACCTGAGAGTTTACACTTGGCACATGGTAGAAGTTTCAGCTGCTTGCAACCTGCAATTCTCGCCACTAGATGCCACTAGATCCTACACACTGTTCCTTTAAATGTTGCTGGAACAGGATGCCTTAGCTGAAACATGTAAAAGTAGCTCTTTGAAGATTACTCTCAGTAGCACTTTAGTCTTTATAAAGAGGCCCTGAGTGGTGTCCTGATTTAATCCATCTCAACATGAATATCTTTCTCCATTCAGCATTGCCATTTCTTGTAATGCTTCATGAAAACATTGCCTTGTAGGGAAATGAGCTTCAGAGCAAAACTGGAACATCCTCTTGATTGTGCAATCATTGTAAAGTATAGTTTGTGCCTCTCTTAAAGTCCATAAGATCTGCTTAAGTGAAAGTAGAATCCTAATTTTAGACTGTACCCAAAAGTAAAACTACACAAACAAGCTCACTTTCCATCCCTGCTGCTCCTCATGAAGTCTTGTTTGTGTTGTTTTTTTCAAACCCCATTTGTATTATGCTCTGCTCTGCACCAGTGTATCATTAAAAAGATCAGGCGGCCACATCTGGAAGAGTACTCAACAGCTTCCAGACGAGGGGGAGGATCCGCCGCAAGACGGAGGCCACAGCCCAGCTCGCTGCATAACTGTGGCTTCTCTGACGTCTCCCAGATTCAAGAATATTCCTCCTCCCATGGACGGAGACTTGAAAGGCTGGAGAAAGTTCTGCCTATGCAAAACTTTTGTTTTCAATTGCTCGGCTTTTCGTGCCAAATCCTCTAAAACGATGTGATTTTGGGCCCGCGACGTAATAGCCCTTGAGCTGCCTTTGCAAATGTAACAGATACAAACGGCCTTTGTTTCGTCCCAACAGCAGGAGAGCATGTGTGAGAAATTTTAATTTTTATGACTCAACTGCTCCATTTGTGAGGCAACAAATTAGACTATTGTTGTCAAGTTTGAGTCGAAGACACATTTCTGCCTAATGTCTGGTGAAACCAAACCTCTGGAGAGCATTTAACAAGGCAGCCTCCTGCTGATAGGCATTCCAGTAAAACTCTCTGGGCCTCTTACAACACCAGGTCCACAAACATGAACATGACAGGGTCAAGAAGAACAACACACAACAACATATACACCAATTGTACGGTACTTGCATTCCCATTTTACACAACTTTACAATTTCACTCCACTTCATTTCAGAGGCAAATCTTGTACTTTTTACCCCACTACATTTATTTGATAACTTTAATCACCAGTTATTTTACAGATTCTGATTATTAAGGGTATGGTTAATGTCCTCATACAGGTACTGGGTTATACAAAAAGATGACAAGCTTTCATTTAATGTACAAATGCTGCTCTAGTTAGGAAGTTTTAAGTGAAGATTTTGCTTTCAGTGCTCAGATAAAACTTTGTGGAAGCTACTTTTCTGTCTGTGATCGATAACGGTGACATAATGTATAGGCATGCAACCTCCAACATTTTACTTAGCCTTGACTTGAGTGTACCATGCATCTCTGTTTTATTACATATGCAAAGTCACTTACTTTGTGGGTGGGTTGGACATCATTGACCATTTGCAGACAACAGCACTGGTATATTCTTATCTATAAAGCTTTAGTTACCAGCTACGCTCCTTCAAGTGGTTGCTTTTTAATGTAACCTGGATTTTAACAGATCTGGGGAAAACTGCATTCTCCTACTCTGCACCTTGGACATGGAACAATTGTCAAAAAGATCTAAAATTTGAAACACTTATATCCATTGATGAATTTAAAGGGCATCATAAAGAATGTGGTGACAGAGACATGTGCTTGTTTTTCTTGAGAGGCCACTCTGTTTGAATAGTTGTTGTTTCATTGTGGATTTTTGTATTATATGTTGTATTTGTTGCATTTTAAATGTGTTTTGATTGGCTGCTACCTCAGCCAGGTCTCTCTTGTAAAAGAAATGTTAAATCTCAATGGGAGGTCCTGGTTAAATAAAGGTTGAATGAATAAATAAAATGGTACAAAATATAAATCAACAAATAAACTGATATAGTATGATAGATTAATCTACCCACCAGCACATAAAGTAACTAAAACTAGATCCACATTTACCAGCTGCAACATGAAAATGATGAACACATTAATGCATTGCTCACTGTGATTCAGTGATTTAAATTACATATTGTGAAATGGGCCATTCTGCACTTTTGTACTTTTATTAAAGGAGGATTTTGAATGCACTTTTTTTGCATGACTTTTCTTGTAGCAGAGTATTTTAACACTGTAGTATTGTTACTTTTGCTCAAGTAAAATATCTGAGTACTTCCTACACCACTGATGTACACACACTATATCCTGTAGTACTACTTTTTTTTGAAGGTCTTGTGTTTTAAGAGTACATTATAGGAGTCCACCAGCCCTAAACCTTAAAATATAAAACTGTGACAATCTGTAATTCCTCAATAATTTCAGCCAAAATTTCTTAATTTTTTAGAAACTTTATGCTTCTATTTTGCATTTGAAGAAAACTGAAGAATTACATACATGAGATATTTTCTACAGAGGAAGACCAACTCTTCTTCCACCCATTGAGACACTACACAGACGTAATCAACCAAACAGATGAGCAGAGCTGAGACAGAGGCATTTTGTACTGTGACACAGTGACATAAGGTTGTCAGGGCAACAGTCAATGCAGCCTGGAGGAGTTCAGCTGTAGTAAAAGAGCCCGGGGGCTGCCCTGTTTAACTT